TTCCAGGTTACTTTTAAATGCTCTTCGTCAGTATTTCAATAATAACACCCGGCAGTGAACGAGCAGGTCGTGGCTATGTGCTGAAACTAGACAGTCTGAGTTTCATATTCCCGTCTTCACTGCAGTGCACAGGTTTGTTCACAGCTGCCTGTAATTTCCCCTGTATTCAGTTTACATCTTATAATATATTAATCACATGTTAAGAGTTATTATTTGCTGTTGTTTTTGAAACTGTCGCTCAGCAGCTGTAGCTCGTGTTTGCCCAGGAAGTAATGGTGGAAATATGATAGATGTGTTTGAAGCGCCTACAGAGGGAAGCTTCCTGGACACTGACACATGAGGTTTGTGGGTTTTCTTTACCACCAGTCTCTGCTGCCTCTGAGCTTTATTTATCTCAGGACAACCTTGGATTAGTCCACGGACACATCCACGGCAGTGTTTGGTCACACGTCACAGTCCACGCATTTCATTTTGGAGCAAAAACTTAAATCAAGCTTTTGAAGTTAAAACAAATTTAAAATGCTTCATGACTGAAACACACGTTTGTTTCTTTTTTTGTGGAGTGAACCCATTAAAGGGGACCTGCTTTGCTCTTCACACTGTTACACTGATGGTCGCTGATACTAAACACAGCCACAGATTCAGATAATGAGTTCAGTGCATAAGCAAGAAATCCCCGCGAGCCAAAACCTCAAACCTCAGACTGCTCTGAAAACTTTTTTTCCTCTTCTGGGCTCGGTGATGTCAGTGAGAGTCGATATCACTTTCCTGTCAGGCACAGCGGCTACACCAAGGCCCAGTGTAAGATAAATAAGCATTATTCTGATTAGTAAATCATGCAAAGCCACTCAAAAGCACAACGAGTCCCCATTGAACAGCTGCAGCCGTCTCAGTGGTTACCTTTCCCTTTGGGCTCTTCTCATTGGCCGGATACATGAAGATCCCTCCGTAAGCGATGGTGCGGTGAATGTCTGAGACCATCGAGCCCACGTATCGCGCTCCGTAGGGCGAACTGCCGTCCTGCAGGAGAGAAATTCATTTTAAATGTCACTAATGTCACTGTCACATTTTCTATGCTCCACATCACATTTTGGTTTATTTTAAGAAATAAATTTAAACACACACATTAGCATTCCCAGAGATGTTGTGACCTTTTTCCCAGTTTTTGACTGGTGTTTTATGTTGGCTAATTCTTGGCTGTAAAGCGTTAGTTTATCTACTTCCTGTGGTCACTGTCAGGTAAAAGCAGCCCTAACAAAAAACTGTACATTACAGATATTACAACCATTTAAAAACAAAGAGCTGTATAGCAACAGCGTCATGTGACCAGCGTCTCACCGAGTTCGACACTCCAGCTTTATCACTACGATTTTAAAAACTGGCCTGTAAGTGACGTCTGATATGAAATGACTTTGGACAAAAACATTTGCATCACATTTCATATTTTGTAAAACTGAAGCAGCTTCTGAATGTCTGGTTTTTACACAATGAAACTGGTCTGCACACAAAGACACGAGTGAACCAGAGTGAATGAAGCTCAGCAGGTCAAAGGTCAAAGTCCACCTGCAGCAGCTGGAACAGACAGGCAGACGCTCCACAGCAAGTCTGCTTTTACATTTGAGATTAAATATTCTTCTCAGAATTTGTTGTTTAACAGGTTAAAATGTGACGACATCATGTGACGCGTGCAGTCGAAGGTGTGTGGAGTTCCCACCGAGCGAGGTTCGTGTTCGGACTGGCACAACATGATGTAGAGTCATGTGCCTGCTGAGTCACATCCCGTAAGGGTGGGTGTGTGTGTGTGTGTGTGTGTGTGTGTGTGTGTGTGTGTGTGTGCACAGTAAAGCAGGGCTTCCCAAACATGACACACGATCAAAAAGAAAAGAAAAAAAAATCCACCTCGAGCGAAACTACCTAAAATAAAATAACTGGAAGTCAAAAGAAAGAGCAGAGCGTGAGGGGAAGTTATGGAGGGTGTGACGTGTGAACGTATGATTTATGATCTGAATCATGTTAATGCTGAGAGAGACGTCCTGAGCAGGAGGGGTGCTGATCTGGAAGCAGTGATCAGTGTTGAAATCTGGTCACCTGACTCTGTGCGGCTGCTCCGCTGTAACCAAATAAAGCTTTTTCAAACAGACGTTACATTTGTAAACGATCCTTCATGCAGGTGAGAAACTGACGGGTTTAAAAAAGGAGCAGAGACTGAAAACTTCCCCGCGCGGCTTTCAGAAAGTTTTGTGTTTCACTTTAACCTCGTGACTGAAGATCTGCTGTTTCATAAAGAAGCAGAGTGTGAGTAACTCTGTGGTCACTGACGGGTTGTGCCGGCTCATGATGCGCTGTGTGAAGTGTTCATGGAAGAGATATGAGTAGGAAATCTGCTGTGACGCAAACTCGGCCTGATGGGAACTGCAGCGTGTGCAGAGTGGACTTTTGCAAAGTATAAATACAAAGTTACATTTAATACACATAATCCCACATACTTGTTGTTTTCCTATAGATTCGTGTGACGAGGCGTTCAGGACATCCTGCAGCTGCTGAGTGAAGTTTCTTGGTCTTTGTGTTTGAAACCAAACCCACGAAGCGTCGACAGAGTCGTGTCACACACGCGACACAGTGCACCACTTTTAATTTGAGTTTTCAGTTATTCTAAAAGTACACAGGAGGGTTTTGATTTGCTTTGTTTGCTTTTTGGGAAAAATCAAAGGAAACTGAAATGAGAAAACGAGAGCATCAGCGAATCCCGGGCTGATGAAGAGGACGCTCATGACAAGCGCAGGCTTCACAAAGTGCTGAGTGTGCGTGTGCAGACAGTTTCCAGTTGAGAAGCTGCTGCAGTTTCCTGAGCAACAGGATGTGCACTCACATTAGCTGTTTCACCATCCTGCAGCTCAGCTGACCGAGCCGCCACTCCTTCAGCCTGACCGACCGGTCACGCTCCGCTGACTGCCCGTCACATGTTTCAGGGCATAGGTAACCTCTACCTGCTCTCGCTACACAAATGCATTGAGAGTCTTTTACTGTAAATCACCCAGAATGCACTGCATGTGCATGTAGGGCTGAAGTCATTTCTCCCACAAGCATGAAATGGTTTTATTGAGCAAGTCTAACAGTGAAGTATACACGTACCATGACACTAGACTGATCAACAAACATGTTCTCTGTGCCTGTAAATGTGTAGCCCTGCAGATGCTTCGTCAGGACTCACATGATGAGTGTGAGGAGCTGCTGGTGTGTGAACTGTGAGCCCGCAGACCTGAACAGATGCTCTGTGGGTCGTAGCTCGCATTTCTACTGCGGCTTCAGTTAAAGGTATCACATCTAAAAGCATAAACGCGCTCTGAGTAAGTGGACGCCGTGCGTGCTCTTACCTCGGGGTACTTCTTGTGTTTGAGGTATTCATTGATGGAGGGGTGGAAGTACTTGGCGTAGCCCTCGTTCAGACTGTAGATCTTCCCCTTGGGCTTGATCCTCACGTTCCTTTCAGTCAGGATGAACTCGCCGACGGCCTGATAAGAAAACAGACGTTTAGTGGAAACAATAGAAACGATCAGGATAGAAAAACATCAGCAGAAGTGAACCAGCGCCAAAGGATCCAATCCAGATGTTAGCCAGTGGCTTCCTTTAAGAGCAAAATCCTCAGGTCAAGGTGCCGCATTATACACGACTGTAAACACTGATGATACCTGATAAAGGAAAACAATCCTCCTCAGCAGGACAATGTTACTCTCTCCAGCTGTTGAGATCTCCGGAGCTTTCTGGACTAAAACAGCGTTCCGGGTTTTTCCTACATTTCTGTTTGCATCACGACTCATTTCTTCAACTACATCATAACTAAACCTGCTTTTTAAAAAGGCTGATCAAAATGTTTTTAAAGACCAAAAAAACTCAATATCAAAGAAAAAGTGAAGTTTATTGAAAAGCTGATTAATCAAAGTTGTTCACTAAACAACAAAAGACAAAAACACGAAGCAGGACATGATGAAGGACGCAGGCTGAAAGAGGAAAACTCACAGGAAGGAAAAGAGAGAGAGGGAGACGGGACTCGTCTCACTGAAGAACGAAAAACAGGAAGGCATCAGGTGAGAGGAATAAAAACACTCAGACAGACAGGAAGTGAAACAGGAAGCATCAGGAAATTTGCATATTTGATGCTGAAAAATGATGAGAAGATGTGTCCGTGATCTTTGTTTAGACTCTTTTTACTGTGTGACACGAGTAAGATGATATAAACTGATTTAATCAGAGATGAGGTGCCAGAAACATTGAGGCAAATCTAAAAGGATCGACGTGTGTTCACAGTCCTGAGATTACACTGTGCAGATGTGCCTCACGAGGGCTGACTGACAGCATCGTGTCTGCTTTCTTTGGCAGAAACAATAAACCAGAGAAACGGAAAAAGTGAGTTTATGAGATCATCACTGACACAAGGAGCCATGAGAGAAAAGGGGCCTTCAGGTAACGTCACGTGGCGCTCTGTGGAGGTGTGGAAACCTGTGACCGCAGTACTCACAGGATCGAGTGTGAAGAAGTTGACCCCGGCGCCCGTGCTGAAGGCCACCAGGGTGGCGCTGCCATAGAGGGCGTAGCCGGCGCACACGATGTTGTTGCCCTGCTGCAGGGCGTCTTTCTCGGTGGGCTCCCCCTCTGAGGTCTGAACATCACAGCAGGGAGAAACAACAACAGCATCCTGAGAGATTATCTGCAAACTTCACAGACTAAGTGCCTCAGTGGACGAAGACTGTAGCATCGACCAAAAACTCACAAACTGACATCAGATTAACGTTTTACTCATTTCAGAATAAAACACGTGGATGAATCACATCAGGTTTCATGGTGTAAACCTCACGCAGGCCTGTCTGGGTCATGGGTGTTGTGCGATGTTGAAAAAGCTCAGCAGGCTGCAGCTGTAAATAATCAGAAGCTGGGCAGCAGCGCCCTCTTGTGTCTGCAGCATGTTACTGCACCTCGACCCTGCAGAAATCTGAAGCTTTTTTCTCAATTATTGAAGTTTCTTAAAATCCCAGAAGCCTTTAAAGACTCGAGGTGTGTTTGAGTAACATAGATGTTTCTGTTACAGACGGCAGCTTCACAGTATAAGAACATTTCCTGGATTTTTAAAAACGTGGTAGCGGAGTGATCGATAAAAAGGCGCGTGGTGGGAGACGCAGGAAACCTTAATATTTAAATAAAATCAGTGTGGACACTGGGTGTGTCCTGTTATTACTGCACAGCATCATTAATGTGCTGTTTACCCAAGTAACTAATAAGTTACTTAATAGCACAAAAGCTGTGTAATCAAAATATGTTTAAAGTACTCACAGTAAATGTACTCAGATATTTTACTGTTGATGGTTTGAAATACTTATGACTTCATTCAGTACCAGGATTTGTCTGTTTTTCTTGACTCGGGAGCAAAATGTAAAGTTTGTGATGCAGATGATTCGGTGAGACTCTGACTCACACGTTTGTAGATGGCGAATATGGTGCCGATGGACGCCAAGCAGTCGATGTTACTGGAGCCGTCCAGAGGGTCGAAGCAGACCACGTACTTCCCCTGTGAAGAAACACACTAAATAATGAAATATGATGATAATAATAAATTATATTCCAAATAAAAGTGAATGAGTCAGGCAGACATCTAAAACCAGTGCTGGGGGGGAGCGGCAGAGACAGGAAGTAAACAGGAAATAAACAAAGTGTCACTTGTTAGACTGGAATCATATTATTTCAGAATAATGTGCAGTATTAATGCGTCACTACAGCTTCTGAAAGAACAAACACATGTCCCACATATTTGATCACATGACTCACTAACACGGCCATCCACCTGCATCTAAAGGTCAAAGGTCACTCTTGAGGACGCCAATGTTCACATTTTGGACAGAGAAGACAGATGTTTGAAAGAGGAGTGAAAGAAGCATCTATGTCCACTGTGAACGCCATCTGTGAACAGAGGGCGGGGCTTACGACACCAACCGTCTGCCATCTATAATCCAGTTTTGAGATCCTTCCCAGACGCCTTAACGCCCACTCACATCCTGGGCCTGGGGCTGGGCTTCACCTGACACCTTGGCTGATTGTGACCTACACCTGTTTTCACACCGTGGCTCGTTCAGTTAGGCAGAGGATCAATAGGGGGTCCATGACCCTCTTGGGGACACCCGCACAGGGCTTTTGTCTCCGAGCTCCTTGGACAGAACATGCATGACGTCATTCAAACATCCAGATTAAGAACAACTCGTTCAGGAGTTTCACTCGTCCAGCTGCGATGTTGTGGGTGTTTAATACAGTTAGAGCCATAAATATATGGACAAAGGAACATTTCTTTTTTCTCTGTAATTCCGGACTGTGGACATCCACCTGGACATCTACTCATCAACCTTAACTTTCATACTCTAACTGAATTCTTCTTCCATAATAAATCAATTCAAATGTGAGAAATCTGACTGAATTTAATCTGAGTGCTGTGATTATGAGACACGGACCTACTGTCTGGTTTAAAATGGTGACAAATTAAAAGAAAACCTTGAAGCTTTGAAAATAGCTCGATGCTCCACAGCTCGGCTCCTTGTTGTGCAAAATCTTCTCTTCATACTGAGCTGGATCTTCCCGGCTTAGATGTGGTGAGGTGTCACACCAGTCCTGACTGACTGGAAGAGGCCACGCCCATCACCACAGATGTGATTCACCACAGGATAAAGATGGACTCACCTGTGACGGTGGAACAGAGACACCTGGCTGTGAGGTGGCTGCTTACCCTCTTCTCCTGGGGGGTGACGATGAGCTCCTTGTTCTCCTCAGACACCATGCAGCAGGTGCTGTAGGAGGCCTGCAGCATGTTGATGACCAGGTCGTTCGACAGCACGTCCAGCTTCTTCACGTCGTCCCCCGTCACGTTCACAGCGCCCGCCAGACCCTGCCTGCACGGACCAATCAGCAGCCACACGTTAGCCACGCCCACACAC